TGTATGAGAGTGTTGTACCTGTACAGCGAAGTGATGAGTCTCCAGGTCACCATCTCTTGCTGCAGCAACCAGGTAATGCTGACCGTCTTGGAGGATTTCTGCTGACCAGGGGCCGATCGAAGAACCATTTTCTGCAACATACTAACCTACAATGCAGGTCAGCACATTACAAATCTCAGTAGGGATTTTATTCAGCTTGCTATGGCAACATTGTCATTTAGCTACCATTTAAAAACATTTAGTTTTTCTACTTAAAAAAAAAAAAAGATAATTTATGTTACATATTAAATTTATATTGTAAATAATTTCATATTTCTACTTAATGAAATTCTGAATTCCCAGTCTGTCTATGCACTACTAGGCGTGTACCTTATCCTGACAGAGAGCCTCATAATCCTCCAATAGATCAAACACAGCTGTGGATGCATGACGCAAATATGACTGCAGAAATTCAGGAAACAAACTGAGAGAAGCTGAGAGGAGACAAAGCGAGAGAGCTGTAAATCATGTAAACCGGTCACTTCATTTGTGGTGATGATGATTATTATGATTATTTACCAGCCTCTCCGGGATCATCTTCCTTTAGCATGAGAGCGCTCATGCTGACATCCTCAGTGAAGCTGGTGTCCACCAGTCCAGACAGAGGAGACGGGTAAAGACTGTTCGTCCAATCACTGTCATCCAAGTTCTGAAGTGTCAACAAATAAAAACCCCAGGCAAAACGGTTACCACTTACATCATACAAGCTAAATATACAGAGCCAGGATGAATAAAAGATGTTCATATGAATTCTGGTCACTCACCATGCTCAGACTGCCTTTAGTACGGGGTGTGTTAACGAAACGAGGAGTTCTGCTTCCTGTCCTGAGGATAGCCGACACATCTGGGTTCCTGAGGGCACTTCTTGGGGTGACTGTACATAATTTACAGTAGGGCTGCACAATTAATCTAATTTCTAATCGTGATTACAATTATGGATGCCACGTAATCATTCAAAGTCCACTTATGTTATTCTGCGTGCTTAAGATATGTTTTTTTCTTTCTACATGTTATCTTAAGGGTTTTTCCATTGTTTTAGTATAACATTATAATACCATGCATATATTTTTAAACCATGCATGTTTTATAATTTAAAGAAACCAATCCGATGTATATTTGACATTTGAGGCTTAATACTATAGAAAAGCACTAAAGGTTTTTCAGTTAGAGTGTTTTCAGCTTGTTTATTTTCATATAAAAATACGGCGTGCAGTTGCATCAAACAATGGTATAAACATCATTCAATGTAAACTGTGATAATCGTAATTAATAATCGCAATTACAATTGCAAGGGAATAATCGACAATTATGATTTTTGTCATAATCGTGCAGCCCTAATTTACAGTCAAACCAAAAATTATTCAGACACTAGATATAATTTTGTTTTTACTAGTGGGTGCAGGACACTATAGTTCATTTATGTAAGTGAGGATAGCGAAATAAACTGTGACGTATTATACCCAAAAAAATTCTTCATACAGTAGGTTACCAGTAAAACTGATGAAAATTTGGGACCAAAACTTATTCAGACACTTTGACTTGACCATGATTTGCTTAAGTGTTTTTCTTTAATTGCTAATGTGACCCTTTTTACACCACATACTAAGCATTGCTTAGTAATTGGTGGACCTAAATTGGTATTATCTAATTGTTGTGTACTACAATTTAACAGCTGACAGCTATTCAACCTAACTCATTACATACCTTTCTATCAAAGTAATCTGACATTATCAAGATGAATTTGTTCTGACACAGTTTAACTCTTGAGTTCTTGTCCTATTTTATTACCATTTTCTAAACTATAGCGAATAAACTGTGATAATATAAGAAATGTTGAAGGTGTCTGAATACATTTGAGTTTGACTCTAAAAGAAAACTGCACATCAATACAGACCACTCTTCAAAAACGCAAAACAGTACTAAAGGATTCAGCCAGTTCATTCAATGCAAGATTCATATCAACAATGATTATGTTACTTAAATTCTTTATTGAAAGAGTTGGTCGGTCATTTCTGAATCAGAGTGTTTTTGCATGCAGCATCTACACATATCTATACAGACAGAGAGCAAAAGCTGTTTCCTCACAAGCTTGTTTGAGGAGAGATCCAGGTGTTTGGCGCAGTAGTGGTCTAGCAGGGGTAGTGCTGGTGCCAGGAGTCTCATCCTGTGCCAGTGGGACTGAACACACAGTAAAGGGAAAAAAAAAACTCCTACATGTTTATAACATAGTTTCAGCACAGATATATTGTACTTAGTTACACTGCAAGATGAGAACAAAAACCTGACCTCAACTGAGCTGGATATCAACACTATTGTCTTCTGTAGAGCTGCTTTTCGTTTTATAATTGCTAACCTTTGCAATGTTAACACTTACTGAACTGAATAAGCATTGAGCTAAATAATGTCATTATTGTGTTGAGCCGTTTTATAGCTAAAATGGAAGTTCTTTCAAAATGGATGTATTCTGTACCATTAACTAACAATGCTATTTTTCTGTTTATCACTGTGAAGCTGTTTTGAAACTATCTGCATTGTAACGTGCAAGAGAAATAAATGTAATGACTTGACTGCGGCTTGTGATTTTGGTAAGGATACATGCACCTTTTTTGTGTGAACTCTTTCTGCGGGCCGCACGGGTCACCTCAGTGTCCCGAACCAATGGACTCAACCAGGTCTGATTCCTGCACAAAACACAGACACCACAACTACATTTTCAAGACTATGTCATTAGGCTATTATCCACATTTATGCCACATGCTCACAAATACATTTGAACACAGATTCTCCAGTCTTCAGACTAACAACTGAACATTCACAAAGACTCACACTCACACAGAAAATCCTAAACGAACTCAAAGTGGCCTGTAAAATATATTCATATAACAAATACAGCTATTAACTAGCTATGAACTGTCAAAACGCAGCTAAAGAATAACGTTATTAGTCTTTTTAAACAACATAAAGTTCCTTCAATGCTGTGTTTACGTAAAATAACACTAAAGTTACATATTGTTTAGCAATTAATAATGAATAAAAAGCTATATTTTCTTTTCTTTCGTGTGTTATTATCTTGAGTGTCAACTGCCATGTGCAGACGTTCTGACGATAACGTAAATTAGAGCAAGTCACGAATCAAATAAAGTAGCCAAAATAATCAGGTAGCATTCATACAACAATAACACGTAATATTTACCAGTCCATGTTGTCCGAAAGATCACAACTGCTAGCCAATGATGCTAGCACACGGGATTTTGCGCCTTCACTGCTGAGGCTCGTTCTTCTTCTGAGCTGCGCCTATCATTACTTCACACTGCCTCCTTCTGGCGCGGATGAACGAGTGAGTACAAAATTACCGCCGTCTGTCAGGTACTGCCACCTACTGGCTATAGAAGGAATCACATGCATCGCAATGTGCCTTTTTTTTAAAGGGGTCATATGATGCGATTTCAAGTTTTCCTTTCTCTTTGGAGTGTTACAAGCTGATTGTGCATAGATAAGATCCCTGAAGTTGCAAAGACTAAAGTCTCAAAACCAAAGAGATATTCTTTATCAAAGTTAAGACTCTGCCACGCCCCCCTAAAACGGCTCGTTCTAACACGCCCCCACATATCTACCTCACTATGTGGAAATATTAGCATAATGCCATATGACCCCTTTAATTGTCACATAATTTATTGAAATGTATATTGCAATTTTAGGATAACATTTAGGCTAATCTTGTCCTGATTATATTACATTAATATCTTTTCAAAAATATTTCCAGTCTAATCCAATTCAACTTGTATCTATTACATTAGTGGCACATGACATGACAAATGTATGATGGGATTATTTTTTAAATTATAAATAAATTGAAATGTCACGCCTTATGAGTGGTATTCGGCGGCTATTTAACGGATTCTCCGTACTAAATGTCACGTAGTTATGAATGTCTATACTAATGTCAAGTAATTATTTCTCATATTAGTAGCCTACTACATAAGAATGGCAGGGGTTAGTTGTCACACCTGCTCATAATTCAGTGCATATTTCTTGCATGGGTTTATTTTTGAAAGCCAATTTCTATAGCCACATACCTTAAAGACTTTGCACTGTTATTTTTCCTGATCAAAGATACTAAACACAAAGATAATGAATTGACCCTATAATGAGGCTTGTTGTCAATTAATGGAACCTGGAACCTTTTCAGAAACATTTAACCAAAAATGCCAAACCAAGTCTGTGTAAATACAGTTTGCTAGAGTTAGCGGGACTAAAGAATTTTAGGTTGTAAGAGAAAGTTCTGTAACAGAAAGTAAGTGAGGCTTGTTGTCAATTAATGGAACCTGGAACCTTTTCAGAAACATTTAACCAAAAATGCCAAACCAAGTCTGTGTAAATACAGTTTTTGCTAGAGGAAGTAAAATCGTTTCTTCCTTAGCACAGCTAGAGTTAGCGGGACTAAAGAATTTTAGGTTGTAAGAGAAAGTTCTGTAACAGAAAGTAAGGAATTCTCTTTGTGATGTGAAACTTGAAAAGAAAGAACTCTGTGTTAGCCAAGCGGAATGCTTTTGTGAGATCTAAAGGCCTTTCCACCAAGACATTGACATTTACTCCTGCTTTTAACAAGAATATATGCCTCAGCACAATAATTCCAAAGTTTGAGTCAGTGAGATTTTTTCAGCTAAATTATTACTTTTTTTTTTCAGAACGAAACTAAAAGTTTTATTCCGCAAGAATGCATTAAATTACAGAAGCCCATTTCCGCCACTGAATTAAAAAAAAAAAATCTCATCTCAATCTTTTCATCTTACAAATCACAATTCTGATTTTTTCCCCCCCTTCACAATTCTGGCCATTTTTTTTCTCAGAATTGTGAGATAGGCCTAAATCAGATTTGCGAGATATAAACTCGCAATTCTGAATTTTTTTTCCAGAATTGCGGCATACAAACTCGCAATTGTGAGAAATAAAGAATTGTGAGATAAAAAGTCGCAATTCTGACTTTTTTTCTCGCAATTGCGAGTTTGTATCCCGCAATTCTAACTTTTTTCTCAACATTGTGAGATATAAACATGCTCGCAATTCTGAATTTTTTTCTTCCAGAATTGCGGCATACAAACTCGCAATTGTGAGAAATAAAGAATTGTGAGATAAAAAGTCGCAATTCTGACTTTTTTTCTCGCAATTGCGAGTTTGTATCCCGCAATTCTAACTTTTTTCTCAACATTGTGAGATATAAACTCCCATTTGCAGGTTATAAAGTCCAATTTTGAGGGGAAAAAAGACTGTTATGTTCTCAGAATTGTGAATTTATATTTCACAATTTTGACTTAACTTGCAATTGCGTCTTATAAAGTCAGAATTACGAGATAAACCAAAAAAAGTCACAATTCTGAGATATAAACTCACAATTGCGAGTTATAAAGTCGGAATTGCAAGATATAAACTTGCAATTCTGATTTTTTTTCTCTCAGAATTGCGAGCCCTGTTGAAAAACCCAGCATATGCTGGTTAGGTATGTTTTGACGTTGGGATGCTGGTTTAAGCTGGTCCTTTGCTGGTTTATGCTCGTCCTTTGCTGGTTTATGCTGGTCCTTTGCTGGTTTAAACTGGTCCGTTGCTGGTCCTTTGCTGGTTTAAGCTGGTCCTTTGCTGGTTTATACTGGTCATTTTGCCAGCACATGACCAGCATAAACCAGCAAAGGACCAGCAACGGACCAGTTTAAACCAGCAAAGGACCAGCTTAAACCAGCAACGGACCAGTTTAAACCAGCAAAGGACCAGCATAAACCAGCAAAGGACCAGCATAAACCAGCAAAGGACCAGCAACTGACCAGTTTAAACCAGCAAAGGACCAGCTTAAACCAGCAACGGACCAGTTTAAACCAGCAAAGGACCAGCATAAACCAGCAAAGGACCAGTTTAAACCAGCAAAGGACCAGCATAAACCAGCAAAGGACCAGCATAAACCAGCAAAGGACCAGCTTAAACCAGCAAAGGACCAGCTTAAACCAGCATCCCAGCGTCAAAACATACCTAACCAGCATATGCTGGTTTTTTCAACAGGGAATTTAGGCCTATATCTTGCAATTCTGAGTTTATAACTCGCAATTGTGAGTTTATATCTCAGAATTGAGAAAAAAAGTCAGTATTGCGAGATCTATATTTGAAATAAATCATCTATGTGCTTTTGAAATGTCTATTTCTTAAAGAACCTGATTCTTTAAGAAATTCATGTAGTGTTTTGCACCGTGACAAAGTTCAGTTTGTGAAGCTTTTTTTTGCGTTTCTTTGAATAAACGTGTAATTATGTCACTGCTACCCAGCATACACTTCAGCATCTCCTTTCAAATAAAGACCCTTTAACCACTGGTTGCACGATCACACGGTTAATCGTGCAGGAGGAAACCGGTGTAGACCGGCAATTAAGTAAAACCCTCACAAAACACTTGCATTTTACACCATGTCAAGGTTTTATTTGACAGTATTTCAGTAAATATTATACAGTAAACAAGAGCTCTGCAAAAGTAAGTATATATCCATTGAGTTGCACTTCATAAAAATAGCTCACTTACAGTTTTTGTGACTAGGTCATAGTACATAGTGTCATATTTATAGTTTTTAGCTGTATACAGGATGAACCACGCTGTTCTTTCAGTTGTACACAGTGATACAGAGCCCCTTTTGGGCACTGAGTTGCCTCCATGGCTTTACCGATAAATCATCTCATTTTAAATCATGTTATTTATCAGGTTGAATCATTTAGGTAACATCTCTTTAGCATTTGGCAAACTCAAGACAAAATCAATGGAAAAGCAGTGTGAAAGCACTGACACTATTCTCTCTTTAAACAAACGCGTTACGCTACAAAATTACAAAGAAAAAGAAACCCTAAGGCCAGAAACACAGCCTAAACAAGTACATGAATGCAAATGCTGCTAACTACGCAAGTTAATCATCTTTTTTCTTGTTGTTGCGTTGCAAAATGTGTCAGAATGCAATTCGTAACGTAACACATTGCATTCTTAATGTGGTATTAGCATAATTTAGTAGTTTTCTTTTTAAAGGCCAACTTTTGTAATGTAGCTAAAGTTTGAAGTTTCTCTGTTTTGAAGAGTCACTAATACATTTTCAGAAAGAGAAAGACAAATGGGCTAATTAATTGTCACTAGTAGCGATGTATAAAGTATAGCTAACACATAAGACACTTTCAAACCGAGCAGACTAACTTGAAGCTGTCGCGAAATCTGTGGCGAAATTTTTCACCCTTTCGCAAAATCCGGATTGCGTAGATTTCTATTGAAATAAGTGAATTTCACCCACAACAATTAGCCAAACAACAGTTTGAATGCACCTTTACAACACATTGTTCAATAGTAAAACATTTGAAGGTAACTCTGTCGACCCCTTGAGTACGGAGGTTTGTTAGCTTTATAGTAGCGAAAAATAGATGCTAAGGATGTACAATGAAACCGCACACGTACGATGCGCTAACATTTGTTTCTGCATTCGCGTACTTGTATAGAGTATGTTTTTTTCTGGTCTTAAGGTGCCTTGTTCCTTATTCATAAAATTAATTTTGTACTTAAACCAAATATCGTTATCATAGCGTTTGTAGTGATCCAACTCATTCATATGCACACACAATCTTTGATGGTACAGAAAATGCATTTGCTTTGACAATGTCATTGTCTGTCTGTGATTTCGAAGGATGTACCGCTCGGAATGTAATAGCCACAGAGGCACACTCATTTTTGGATTGCTTCAATTAATTTGTCTTTATCAGGGAAATGTTAGCACTATCTTGTAATGACTAGATCATTGTCGGCTCTGCTTGTCATCTACAACAGTTGTCAAAGAGCGTCAGTGGAACCCGTCATCGCTTTATTTCTGTGGGAGATGAATATAATAGAGACGATATTATGACAATGGATAGAACGGATGAGGTCTTGTCTGGGGTCCTTTTCACAGGAACTTGAATTGACATGTATATATTAATTAAAGTGAACAAAATGATAAAAGTTGTGAATAATTGTACAACATTTTTGACAGTATTGCAGGAAGAATACACTATGAAGCACCACTGGGGTCTTGACATGTTTTTTTTTTAAAGTGAAGTGTGTAATTTCTGTGCCATTATCGGTTATAAAATCAGTGAACAATTAAGACACTCCCTCAAAATCATGCAATTGGTTGAGACCATATCGTTTTGTCAGCCCAGAACTAGAGTTGGATGCCACTAGTTGCACAGAAATGACCTATTTCACCTTCAAGTGAAATGCTGTATTTATTACTGACAGTGACATTAATGGCAATTGAACTCATAAAAAGTGAATTATGAAAGAACACACAGGATAATAATGTAATCTGAGGTCCAGATGTTAACGAAAAGTTTGTTCCATTACACCTTAACATTCCAGTTGGTTACATTAACTGGTTACATCAATGTTCCCCATCCATTCAATTCAATGGAGCAAAGAATCAAGCTAGAGTGAAGTCCTGTTCACGCCAAGAACGATAAATATAACGATAACTAAGTTAGCATCCATGTCAATGCACAATAACATTATGTTCATTGTAAGCGACCAATGCAGTTATGTAATCTGCTGCTTTAAATGCAAATTCAATTTTAAAGTGGTGGATTCTGATTCTGGTTGTCAGTGATTTTATCATTCATCAGCTGTTCTGAAATTGTTCTGAAAGTGATTCTCTGTGTCATCGTTATACTGTATCATTACCCTACTCTCATAGAACTAGAATGATTATTACAACTTTATAGTTATCATCATTATCATCCTTGGTGTGAATGGGCCTTTAGCCACCTTGCCGTTCCTTATGAAAATTAACCGTGGTTTTATTATAGTAAAAGTGTAGTAACCATGTTTTTTTGGTGTATAGATTACCATTTGTATAACCAGAGTTTTACTATAAATACCATGGTTAAACTATGGCTAGTGTAGCAAAACCATGGTTAATTTGTGGTTACCATGGTTTAACTAGTAACCATGTTTTTTTGGTGAATTTTTTTAAGGGGTGTGGCACACAGATGTTTAACATGACACGTAAAGTTCAAACAATTTCAACTTTGACCTCATTTACTTTGGCCTTTTCAAAGCATAACCAAATAAATGTCCAAGAAATTCCATAAGCTGAGACCTTTTAATAGGTTCTTTGTGTTTTCAGTTAGCCTTCGATTAGCAAGCTAACATCTTAGCATACTAGCTAGTAGAGGCTGATAGATTGTGTCTGTGTAGATACATCAAAATACAGCACAAGATGGATAATGACATTCTGAGGAAAAAAACATTGCATGACAATAGCATACATTACCTCTTTCGTGTACTTTCAGAATTTGCTATTAGCAAGCTTGTTAAAATCACCCTTTTGTGAAGGGTGCAACAAGCACAACGTTTTCACAACAAGCATGGCGCTTGTGTGGAGAGGAGTGTTGAAGCCCTGACATGAACCATGTGAACTAGAGACTTACCAACACACAACCTTTTATATGGGGAATATGCTAATAAACATAGATTCATAGCAGGATTTTGAGAATTAACTTATGCAATGAATATCATGGATGCACAGCATATATTCTTTCCAGTACTGCATTTTATATGTACACGTCTACTTAAAGACAAAGTGCTCAACAAACATTTGAACTCCTGTCAAAGATATCATTAATAAATATCTGCACTTCTTTTAGAAGACTCTCACCTCTATTTTTATGTACGAAAATAGCTTTGAATTTTATATTGATATATCTATACTGTGGACATAAACTGGTCTCTCTAGACACCAATCAGCATTCAGAGACACGTATGTAACGGCATACTTATTCAGATCTGGCATTACTTTTGCAGTTTCTACGGAACAAGTAGTCCAATGAATTTATAGCAGCCTAAGTTTTTCTTTGTCTTGATGTCATTGCCTAGGATTTAGAGCTCAAATAAAGCATCAAGTGGTCAGCATAAGGCAGGTGTGTCCACTCCTGCTCCTGGAGGGCCAATGTACTGCAGAGTTGATCTCCAACCTGCCCCAACACACTTGCCTGGATGTTTCTAGTAATCCTGAAGACCTTGATTAGCTGGTTCAGGTGTATATAATTAGTATTGGAGCTAAGCTCTACAGGACAGTGGCCCTCCAGGAGCAAGATTGGACACCCCTGGCATAAGGCACTCTGCCCTAATCAAACCATTTAATCGAAACCATCTTGGACTCAAATTGCTTTGTTCATGTACTCACGTAAAGCGAGAATAGATTGAGAGTCAAGAGAAGGTCAAAGCCCATTGGCCCCTTCAGAAATTGGGTATTCACACTGACAGCGATTTGCAGCAACTGGTAGTCATAAATCAGAGAGTTTGAGATTTTAAGAGACAACTTGAGGCTGCAGCAACTACCGATGTCAGTGTAGAGAGTGAAGGCCATGTGATCCGTTTCCTGTTACAGTTCTGTATTGAAGTTGAGTAGAAACACCCATGAGCAACCACTCAAGTTTATATCAATGTCAGTGGGAACGAACCTTAAAGTGGAGTAGGAATGAAATCTAGATTACACATCTAACTTACACTGTGTATGATATCAGTACTCCAGTATGGGCTCACAATGGTGTGTAAAGACCATATTTACAATATGTCTCACATACATGTAGTCATATAATATATTTATTTCTATATTCATTTTACCGACCCTTTTACAGACATCTGCAGGTCAGTCTTTAAGGCAGAGTTCATAGTCGAGTGTCCACTCATATAGAATCTTTTTAATCATATTCATTCTTCAAATACACAAAAACTGTATGTCAGGCAACTCCTTCAGTATTCTTCATTTTTTTTAATGAAAGTGTATAAAAATTGCTGTAGCCACCAGAGGTGGTTCAGACTCAGTAAGTGGTTCTCTATGCATGTACATATCTGAGTCTTGAGTGCTTTTCCCCAGCAGTTCAAACAAGTCTGAGAATCTTTTTGCACGCTACATGCATCACTCATTCTACCGTGGTTCCATTTTTGGAGTGAATGCTTCCAGTTCTTAAGGTGGTGGGTGTCATATCTGTTAAAATAACTTAGAATAAAATATAAATAAAAAATGCTCTGTCTAGAAATGCATGGAAAGTTCTTTAGTGAGTATTGTGGGAGGGTGGCACCTAGTCAAGGTTAAAACCGATCTCTTTCAAGTAGAGCAAGCCTGTGTAAAGCAATCAAGAAGAGCCCGTCCAGTCCCAAAACAAGGCGGATCATAGCCAAAGGTTGGTCCAAAATTTGGCCAAAAGAAGTCAAGGCCAAAAGTAAGGTCTAAACTTGGGCCTGAGATTGTGATAAGATGTTATCTGCTGATGGTGGAGGTGGCAGAGCGCAGGGTACTGGGTAGCTTGTCTGAACCAGGGATCTTCCAGGGCCCTGGGGATACTGTGGCCTTCCTGCCTGATGCACTGCTGCTGGTCTTGGAGTTGTGGCTGGGACGACTCTCTTGGCTCATTTGCCCTTTCTCTGGTTCCTTTGGTTGGGCTTTGAATGGCACCAGAACTCCTTGTTGGTTGTTGCTACCATCCAGGCATCCATTTCCCCCATTCATGTTGGTGTCATTTGGAGAAGTTTTGGGCGAGTCTCGCTTTCGAGACGGTGTATTGCTCCGCTCCCTCCTGCGCTCCTTGGACTTTGCCTGGCTGCCTTTGTGGGATTTGGGCTCTCCCGCAAATTCATCAAGGTATTGTTGCTGACTCTTCCCTCCAATAGAGTGACGGTTGGTCCTGCTGCCTTCCCTCTGCTTGGTCCCATCCCCAACTCCACCTGCCAGGGCTGACCTCTTCCCCACACTGGCCTGCTCCAGAGCCCTACTCTCTGGGCCTCTAGGACCCTGGGAACAGTCTAGACCTGCTGCTTCCAAGGACGATGTATGAGGTGGGTCGGTAGGTGGGTTCACATGAGAAGAAGCTGATGGATTAGATAAACTGTCGAGGGGTGGTGCTACTTCCGACAGACTTGGGGAGGCTGTAGTGTGAGCATCCCAGGGGGCGGGACTATCTGCTGGGGAAACATGGAACAGTTACATCCAAACATGTAAACCAAAACAGAAAGAAGCACAATCGAAAACACACTAGAGGAAGATTAGTAGAACCAAAGCAAACACTAGCAAAGAATTACTATCTAACGAACATGAACCACACACTCCCCAAACCAGTTCAGCACAAACCCTACTCTGCAAGCTAATTTCATCTGTCAACTCAATCACGCAGTCACCTCTCAAGAAAAATTCAGACTTCATGGATTCAGTTAAAATGGTAATGGATTCAGTGACAAACAGTAATGCTATCTATCAAAATACCAATGCTTAAATGAGGGTAGGCTTACAGTAGGTTGGGGTTAGGGGTTAGTAATTCTTTCAATGTTGTGTAGGCAATCAGCAGTGTGAGTTACATGACCAATGAAATCTTCAGAATCGGTTGAGTGGTGGGATTTGCACTGAACTTGTTTGGGGAAACCAAAAAATAAATAAAATTCACACAAACCATGACAAAAAATATACAAAGTACCGTGATATTACCATGGCTTTTTTCTACAATGTACCATGTAAATAGTATGGGATCTGTATTATGATAATTACACAAAGTATGTTTAGAGTATGTTGGAGTACCTTGTAAATACACAGTACCATGGTCCATTACCAACTGTGCATCATGGAAATGCCATAGTACTTTTCTTGTAAGGACACAAAGCACTATATGATATTGTTTGCATACATACCAAAACAACCTCCATTTCTGACAGGAAATGGGATAGTTTTCAGCCAGTAAGCTAGTTTCATGTGTGTCTACTGGATGTAGAATAATCAGGTTCTCCCATGGGCTTCTTATGCTATCCGCCCAACCTCCACACACACACATGCACACACAGACATCACTTCACACCAAGATTCTTTTATTGGAGTGACATCTCCACACTTCCTCTCCTTAGACTCCCAATACACAATAGCATATTTTACCAACACACTCACAACCCAAACTGAAAGAGGGTCACCAACCTTAATATTCTCATTATACATCCCTAATCCTACCTGTCTCCTCATATATCACAGGATACACTGAGGACTGCTCATCTTTCTGCCAACCTACAAAGCACATATGCACCCAGGCGGCCATTTTAATGTGTGCTAACAAGCGAACTGACTGGGAATTCATTTCAACACAAGAAAACAAACACTTACAACAGCATCTCTTTATCATTAAGCTTCAAATACAGGGAAATATGGCAAGTGTAAACAATTATGTATCATTGTGTCTCTGCGCTAGCTGTTTCTTTATTTACTGGGGTACATTTCTCTAGTTTATATGGCCCAAGTGTAGCAAAAATCACTGGCCAAGCTCATAAAGGGTTTTTCACTGTGAAACAGAAGACAGGTATGGAATATAAAACCGTAGAGGCTGACACAACCATCCCATGATGACTGCATTTCAGCTAGGTTTCTGTGGCGCCACTGAGATCTCAGTGGGATACTAAAGGTGTGAGAAGAGATGGCCAAGTGTGAGTGGAATTCAAAGGCAAGGGCGCATAAGGTTGTTTCAATGGCTGTTAGGAGCTCGTAGGAGTTACGTTTTCATCACAATGGAGAGTCAGTTACAAGAATGCTAAGAGTGTATGTGCGTCTATGGGTAGATCTGCTGTTTCTCTTTCAGTGTGTGAATTTTACTAGACATATGCTTTCACTGTATGACTTGAATAGGAGTATACATAGACAATATATTGAATATTCAGAATATATAAAATATTATTAGCTGGTGATATAAAATGGCAATGATTTTAATGCACTTTTTATTAGACCATTAAAGACTACAGCGGTAGGCCAGTTTTGCTTGCAACTTGAATGTGAGAGCGCTAATGCAGAGATAATTGAATAGGATCTCTGATTTAAACTTAATTAAAATGGCAATAAACTTGGGAAATGTGATTCATTTATGAGAATAAGTTTGCTTCAAAGAATCAGCTCAATGATTAATTTGAGTAATTGCTCAAAATGTACACTGAAATAACCCTTTTCTCACAACTGTGACTGTGGTGAATGAATGAAGATTATTGTGCTTGTGTTATAGGTACTCTGTGCGTATAATGTCCGAATACCAAAACTAAGACTAATAATATTATATTATGAAAAGACAGGTTACAGTACATGTGAGTTACATTCACTAACACGGATTCAGATACAAAATACACAATGTTTAAAACTACTGTATATATGCTTTAATGTATAAATATATTTTATATACATATAAATTAAATTAAATAAATAATATATATATAAAAAAACATCCAAACCACAGCACTCTGCACATCAAAGAATGATGACTGGTGTGTTAGAACGCATGCACTCTGTTACAAACCGTGTCTTTAGGATGGCCCATTAGGAAGAAATAGGGGGAGCCATGGTTGTCACTTTTCATGCACATGGAGAGACTGGAAGGTACCATTCCTATAAGAGGTGAAGTAACAACCTAGACCAATCATTAGGGTTAGAACAGAAGCCACAGGCTAAGACAGAATTAAGATCAGTGCTGAGATAGTATTCAGTGAGGAAAATTGAGAACGGAAGTGAGAATTATTTACAGACAGCCATAAAATTGATGAAAGAGAAGAAGACTAGCTATATCTGCATTAATACAAAGAGCATGCTGTCACAGTCATGTTAAAGAAGTGTTGTGTTAGCAGGAAAATTTTAGAGTTATTAAATATTAGTGTACAAGAGAATGTTTTTTCTCAATCGCTTGGCTCAATTCTTGAATGAGATTTTTTTCCTCTCAAAACAGTAAGTTCAGGTCATTGAACAGTGTTGCTTTTACAACATTTGAATTTCTTATTAATTTTATGCAAGTTGTACATGTTTTGGCATGTGCCCAAAAGAGTATGTACAGTCTATAATTTGCAGAATAACCAAATGCACATGACTTGCTGATCAAAACTTATTAGTTAATTCTCAGTGAACTTGTCGTGTTCTTCACAACTAAAACATTCCTTTATTGCCTGTTGTAGAAAGTGTTAACAGCAGTATGAACCGATGAAATGAGGACTTGTAAGGTAATCAGCTAACCTAGCTAGCTGTTTTTATTGTTGGCATTTTATTCTTTTTTAATATTAGAATGTTAGTGAGAAGAAAAATTAAAAACTTTTAGATATCAATCTGCATATGTGATGGACATTGGTTATGACCATCTTTGGTATCTTCTTAGAAGGCATCTGTCACGGCGCGGTCAGGAATCACACCGTGTGAGCAAGGGTTTTGGGTCCAAATGCAGGTTTCTTGAGTAAAACAGTTCCATATTTAAAGAAACATACAAAAGGCCTGAACCGGAAGTGACGCTGTCACGACTGCCTACTATGGCGGAGTGCAGAGCAAGGAATGGAGGGAGATGAGGAGTACATCAATCTAGAGAATTTTAATGACATCAAGGAACCAAGGAAAACTCACGTAACACAGGTTGACATGAACAATACCGGACGCTGAACAAAAAACAGGGAACACTATTTAAATACATGATAAGACGAGGGGATGATGAGACACACCTGGGATCAATGGAAATAAACAGGGAACACCTGGAATTAAATCAACATAATCAGGACAGGAACAGGAAACTAACCAAATATGGGCAAGGAGGGCATATGGGGAGCAAAACACACACAAAACACGGAACAAAGTCTGACATGACTTCCCCGCTCTGGAGGCCTCTAGGAACAGGGTTAACGGACGGAAGACTTCCAGGGCGGCGCCCGTTCCGGGACCCATGGCAGATCTGGCCGTTCGGGGCGCCATGGCGGATCTGGCAGACTAGGAGGCCATGGCGGAGCAGGCAGACTAGGAGGCCGCAGCCCCAGCCCCCGCCCTGGCCTCTATGGCTGGAGCCCTACTACCCCCCAAAAAATACTTGGGGACGCTTACGGGCTCTGAGGCCCTCCCTGGGCTCAACTGGGGATCTGGAGCCCTCCCTGGGCTCAACTGGGGATCTGGAGCCCTCCCTGGGCTCAACTGGGGATCTGGAGCCCTCCCTGGGCTTAACTGGGGATCAGGAGCACTCCCTGGGCTTAACTGGGGAACTGTGAAGCGCTTACGAGGAGCTGGCACTGGAGGGTGCTCTGGAGGAGCAGGCACAGCAAGGCTTTTTCGAGGAGCTGGCACTGGAGTCAACTCAGGGGCTGGAGCCGACACTAGAGCGAGCTCTGGGGCTGGAGCTGACACTGGAGCAAGCTCTGGGGCTAGGATGAAGGCTGAGAACAGTCCTTTTCTCTTCATCCTCCTTGTGTTACGGGGGAACTGGACACCTGGCGGGCTTGTCGTTTTGGTGACCAGAGGGCTTGCGTCAATGGCACGGCTCGGTATCTTCGGAGCGGCCAGCGGACTTGAATTCTGAGCTGCTGGCGGGCTTGTCTTTCGAACGGCCGGCGGGCTAGAGTGAGCCGTCTTGACTTCTGAGTGGCCGGCGCTCCTGGGCTAAGGACCACGGTGGAGCTTCGGAGGACAGCGGGGAATTTGGGGTTGGGCAGGTGGTAGGAGCCGTTGGAGAGGTATGTGGAGGTTCTCGGCGTGGGGTGAGCTGGTGAGACGCGGCGCGTTCAAGCGGGAGTTGGATGACGAGGCTTGGGAAATTTCTTTTCTTCAACTTCGAAATTAGAACCATTTAAGAACAGCACAAGATTAATCAGCTCGATCAGGGGAAAATCAAACGTCGGAAGATCGCAGCGGATTATCTCGTCATCCAACCTCAGCGGGAAGCACGCACCTAGAGTGGCATCGTGCCAGCTCACCCGGTTAGAGAGCTCGAGAAAACCCTCCACATATCGCTCCAACCTCAGACCGCCCTGCCACAAACCCCACAGCGCGTCCTCAGCTGCAGTCATCTTTTTAGGTCCATTCAGTCACGACTGCCTACTGTGGCGGAGTGCGGAGCAAGGAACAGAGGAAGACGAGGAGTACATCAATCTAGAGAATTTTAATGACATCAAGGAACCAAGGAAAACTCACGTCGCACAGGTTGACATGAACAATACCGGACGCTGAACTAAAAACAGGGAACACTATTTAAACACATGACAAGACGAGGGGATGACGAGACACACCTGGGATCAATGGAAATAAACGGGAAACACCTGGAATTAAAACAACATAATCAGGACAGGAACATGAAACTAACCAAATATGGGCAAGGAGGGCACATGGGGAGCAAAACACACACAAAACATGGAACAAAGTCTGACAGACGCAACCTGTTTAGCAGAATACAGAAGTTTGAGCATAACCTTTATTTTACTTACTCTTGAAATCTGTATCTAAAAAGCTCAATATGACACACTAAATTATATTTTTGTATAGTAGAAGCAGTCTGTGTCCAAAAAAAACCTTTCCAAGGGTTGATCAATCTTTCATTTCGGTGCCATTAGCCAATTTAATGACACAATAACTAGGTTGTGAAGCATGAATTACATTTTTGGTTGAGTTACTAGATTTTGTGTTGTGATTTCCCATAAACCAAACATTCGTGACAGTTGTACTTACAGATTAGAGAATTTTAAAGGGGTCATGAACTGAGAAACCAAAATTCCCTTGATTTTTTGACATATAAGAGGTCATTGTACTAAAAACACATCCTGTACAGTTCAGAACTTAAAACTTTGTCGTTAGTCTAAAAACAGTTTATATTGAAGCCAGTCTGCCAAAATGACAGCTTGTGGAATGTTCTACTCTATGATTTAATAGTGTGGATAAGCACAACCTCCCCAGAAGAAGATCAACGTCTGCTTTTACATCACTGCTTGTTTAGCCCCACCCACCGATTCGTGCATGTAGTGTTTACTAGAGAGGCGAACACACAGGTCTACGCAGAAACCAAACAATAAAGATGGCTGTGAAGACAAGACGCTGTGCAGTACCAAGTTGTGGAAAAACAGTGTTTGCATTGCCTCCCTTCTGATCCCAATGTTAGGAAAGCGTGAATTAACTTTATTTTTAAATGAAGATCCAGACCGCGTCAGTAAGAACTTGTTCCTTTGTTCATTTCATTTTACCACGGATTCGTTTACAAACAAGGCACAATTCGATGCAGGATTTTCAAAAAGATTGAATCTAAAAGACGATGCTGTGTTGACTATATTGGATCTGACAGTAATGTCGCAACACACACGTGTGAGTAACTGTTTTTATTATGTGATCACTATTGCTTTGTCTCTTCTTACAGATTGTCTGATATGTATTAACTTATTTATTAGTTTTTGACCTAAATCACAGCAGCATTTATCTATGAGGAATGTACGCTGTCAAACATACGCAACTACGCCAATCATAGCAGTGGGTGTTTACTTCAGAGTCGACAATCCGCCATGTCTATTCAAACAGAGTGTTCTGATGAGGGGGGTTAACAGGACAGAAAATAGCTTTTTACTTCGAAATTATGTTTTTTGATGCAAAAATCTTGATAACATTATTAGTGGACCTCAGATAACATTACAAAATAAAAAACAAAGGCTCGACCCTTTTACGACTGTTTCAAAAAAAGAGCTAAAGCAATTGAGAAAAACTAACTGGTGGTGACCTTTTTCTAAAATGATCTACTAGAAATTCCCATTGAGAGCAGAATATTAATATCAAATAAAACCTGTCAACTGCACATATTGTCCTCCTGGTGTGAATAAGTTATTTCACAACATTCTAAATGTATGCTGTGATCTCCTGCCAATCTGCTCTATTATACATTTCTTTATACATTACCCAATAAAACATCACCTCCTCCAAAGATCTGTCTTGTAATGAGACAAACTGTAGGTTACTCCACCTCTTGAGACCCTGTAAACCAAGTGAGCTAATACTGTAGACATTTGTGAGCAGTAAGGTACGTGTTCAGACAGCCTGTGTAGACCTACCATATTCAGGGACCTGCCCTGTGCCTCTCTTGAGCAGCAGGCGAACTCTACGGCCACCCGATTTGATGAGCTCAATGGCCCGAGCGTGGGTCATATCCCTCGTGCTCTCCCCATTTATTTCAATGATCTGATCACCAACCTGCAAAACAGACAAAATATGATTTGAAAAAGTGTTTTTGATGGAAAATCCATTCTGAGCAAACAGCCTTCTCTCCAGAATGTTTATCTAGCATTCAGATACCTAAGATTACGAAGACAGATGTGACAGAACAGCAGTAATTATTTTCTGACAGCTTTGAATCGCACCCTCTCTGGTTTTAATGATAAAACTAATATGACTATAATTTATTAAGGATAATTATTCAGTAGGATCAATATAGGTCCATAACTCATGTCGGCTGTTTCGGTTAAGTGCTAATCAGCATTAGCAGTCATGAATGAGATCGAGTATTAATTCATTTCAGAATTAACATAGCTGGATGAATGAATCATGGGTACAAGGTTCCTATGAGCTACAATACCGATGCTCTTCATCATCTGCGAGGAAGGTGTACGACTATTGAGGATAATGAGGGACTGGTTAATTGCCCTTCTTTGATACAAAGGAAGCCGGTATGATCAATATTACTACAATTAGTTGCCCACCAACGTATTTTTTTTCCCATCATTTGTTTTATCTTAATATTTCTAGCAGCAGTAGTGTCTCTAAATTCATCTTCATTAAAGCACAGCCATCAAAGTGCCACTTGTGTAGCGCATCCACAGCCTTTAACAATACATTTCAAGAAAATCACTGTCAGACTGTCAGATCATTTGCTGTGAGCAATATTCCTGTTATTATGCATAATCCGTAGGTCTCATTTGTGTGTGGGCTAAGATAGTTTTGTGTAATAAAAAGGCTATAGATTTTTTTTTGCCTGTTTATTTGTTAAATATCTCTGTTACCCTGTCGAACAAACACATTTTGTTGTTGTTTTTCTATGTTCCCATGCAGATGGATTTGTCTCACCACTTTTTCAGTGTCTTGCTCTGACAACATTTTTAAAGTGTTATGTTAAAAATGAATGAAAATAAAGTTATTACTTTCTGTTGTGATCCTTCTTAATTTTATATAACAATGCATAATATGTTTTTATAGCAGTAGCCTAATAATAGTTTGCCATTGTGAAAGAAAACATAACTTAAAAAATACAAATTATAAACATAATAAAAAAATTATTGAGCATTAATTATGCATCTTGGTTATCAGAGGAAAATATGGCTGTAAAAAAATAGGAAAAGCAGTTTTCACATCCTTAATAAATACTATCATATTCTCCCTTAACACACAAACAAATAATATAGACAAAGGTTGTATAATTATGAAAATATTGGCGCCACTAAAACAGGAGACGCGTATACTGATGCTGAGCATGTAGGTGCATTGAACTTGTCTTGTGTCTGTGGACTAATTGGCCAGGGGCTGGGGAAAAAGAATGAGCCAATTATAGTAACAAACGGAGAATTCCTCTCAAATGGTCTGGATAATGTGGAAGTCCGGGCAGGTCGCTGCCAGTGATGGGCGGCAAGTTTTTTATGACTCATTAAGATCTTGTTTGAATGAAGGGCAGAGAGCAGTATGACCCTCAACTCTCTCATTACTGACAAGGAGTGTCTCGTTTTTTGTTCCTACACTATGTCTGGGGCCGGTTCCTCTGACCTCTGGGGTGGAGAGTGTTAGTAAAAGCATCGCAGCTAGCAGCGTCAGCAGCTCCCTCGTGTTTTTGGTGTATCTAGAGGGCATGTGTGGAAATCTACAGCAGCAGCAGCAGCAGCAGTGTCTGCTGGGGGTTGTATGACTTCATGCTTAATGGACTTTTTAAGTACCATGGGTCTGTTCCAAACTAATTATAGATTCAAAAGGCATTTTGTGCTGTGGATATATTCACGCCCCAAAAGAAGACAGGACGATGTTTACTGTCAGAACTGAGGCTCTTGAATGGAAAGGAACGGTCACTGTGTGTGATCTGCAGGTAATGGACTAAATATGAAAGGCTGTAATGAGAGGTAGAATATCCTAAGGGGACTGTTTTATTCACATCAGACAGCTTCATTACGGATATGAGCTGAACAAGCAACAGAACAGCAGCAGAACAGGATAGATGGGCGGATGGATAGATAGATAGACATACAGAAAGACAGATGATGGATGGATGGATAGATAAACGGACACACAGACAGAGATAGACAGACAATAGATGGATGGATGGATGGACATACCAATAGACAGAGAGAGACATACAGATGATGGATGGATGGATGGACGGACAGAAGGACAGGCAGACAGAAAGAAAGACAGATGATGGATGGATGGATGGACATACCAATAGACAGAGAGAGACATACAGATGATGGATGGATGGATGGATGGACAGAAGGACAGACAGAAAGACAACGAGAAAGACAAACAGATGTAGATGAATGTACGGAAGGACAGGCAGACAGACAGATGATGGATGGATGGATAGATTGACGAATGGACAGACCAACAGACATAGAGATAGACAGACAGATGATGGATGGATGAATGAAAAGATGGATGAATGAAAAGATGGATGGATGGATGGATGGATAGATTGATGGATGGATGGATGAATGGATGGATAGATCGACGGACAGACAGATGATGGATAGATAGATAGATAGATAGATAGATAGATAGATAGAAGGAGCTCACCCTCATTCTTCCATTGCGTATTGCTGGTCCGTCTTCAGCCAATCGCAGAACGAACAGATCCATCTTATACTCACGGCCTCCACGGATACTAAAGCCAAAACCTTTCATACCCTTTTCCAGCTCAACCGTGAAGAAATCAAAATCCTGCAAGCACACGTAAACATATTATGGACATTTTATGGACATGCATAATACATACTTTCTGGAAATGCACTGTCAGTGCCACATCGCCATTTCAGTGATAAATTACGATATCAGTGTGCATTTCTACACCAGTGTTTGAGTGAATACAGAGTGGCAGCAGAGCTACCTGTGGCATCCTGTAGTCCGGTAAGGGGAAGGTGCGAGGGTCAGTGGACAGCTGCCTGTAGTCCAGCAGTGGGGGGTGTCTGTAATCGAGCGTTGGTGGCTGTCTGTAATCTGCTACAGGAGGGTGTCGGTAGTCCACTGGGGGTTGGCGGTAATCAGTGAACGGCTGTCGAATATCGGGTTTTACATCCTGTCTTGCTTTTACCTCTGACCTGTAGCTGAACAACCAATCAGAGCAGAACCAATGGCATTTGGTGATGCTGACTCTTGTGCAAACATTTGGAATATACGCAATAGCAAGTGAGACTTGGACTACGTCTATGGTGTTTTTATGGCAATTTCTTGTCAAACTTGTCTGCAAAAATGTGGCAATTTAAAATAGTAGCTTTTATCAGCAGCAAAAGCTGTAATATATATATATATATAAGAATGAGGAGATTCTCTCATAATATTTACTCTGTTTACGTCTGTTTTCCAGCGGATGCCGTCAAAACAGACTTACCACTGACGGAGCTACCGCTCTAATGAATTTTAAAGTTTAATGCAGGATAATGTTCTGTTGAAAATGGCAAAGCCTGAGGAGCTCTTGGGTGTATATTGAAACTTGAGTGAGCATGGAGAGGAAGTGAAATCATTGGTCTCTGCAGGGTATATAAATGATTAAAAATGGTTTTAAAGAGCCATGTAGGTAAATTATTCAGTTCTGTAAAAGATAAGTGATTTTACGCAACAACCTAATAGTGAGAGAGAGTCTGTGAGTCAGAGAGGGATTCACTCCATAAATAGTGAACTTTTGTAGAGTTTTGTAGAGTTTTCACTTGATTACAAAACAAGTTTGATTTGAATTCATCCATTCAAATGATTAGGGATGTACAATATTTCAGCTCCATATCTATTCGTATTATTTATTTATCTTCAGCAAAATATATATAATTCATATCCTTCATACAGTACATAATAATGTTGTGATGTCTAAATCCATTAGCATTTAAAATTATGTATTTTTTTGTTTGTGTACAATTTTTTAATTTATTAATATCATTCATAACATACTTGGTTTCACCCGGTGAAATTTCACAGAGCAATGGTAAAACTAGTACAACTTAAAATATATTTAAGTAATAACGTAATTTTGTTGGTGCCTTGCCTGCTGTCATGGCTGTAGATCTGTACTGGCACTGCGGAGGGCTGGGCGGGCAGGTTCTGTTGGGTCACTGAGCTGGGCTGATTGGCTGGGCTGGTTTGAGTGACAGGGCTCGGTTGTGCTTCTGAAGTAGGCTGCGTTATGGAGCTGGGTTGAGGTGCAGAGTTGGTTTGAGGGGTGGAGTTAGGTGGAGGTGCAGCACCGGTCTGGTTCACAGTGCTGGGTTGGCAAACTGGACTGGGCTGGGCCATAGGGCTCTGCTTCTCTGAGCTGCCTGCAGAAGGCGTGCTGTTCGTCTCTGAAAAATGGAGAAAAGACAAAAAGCTAAGCTATTTTCAAAGCTTTTCTTTATAACACAGGTATTTTTTTTTTTACAACTAAAGCAATAGTTTAAGTGTTGCATGAGTATAGTTTGCTTGTACTGTCTGTTATTTTACCACTAAATGCACTGAAATAATTATGCAAATAAAATAATATCGCAAACATGTCCAAAATCTGTGAATGCAATTTGCATGGCACAAGTTTCCATTTTGGAGGCTGGTTCAGAGAACATTACAGTTGCGTTTCTGTCTGAGAGCTCTCAGATTCCATCAAAAATATCTTAATTTGTGTTCTGATGACGAACGAAGATCTCACGGGTTTGGAACGACACAAGGGTGAGTAATTAATGACAGAATTTTCATTTTGGGGTGAACTATCCCTTTAAAGTGGATTTCTGGTGGCTTGTGCTGAAATACTGTATCTTTAGTAAATTTGCATTTCAAAAGGATAGTTCACTCAAAAATGAAAATTCTGTTATCATTTATTCCCCTTCATTTCATTACAAACCTGTATGACTTTCTTGTGATTTTAAATGGTATTTTTTAAAACATTTGTATTTAATCATTTTAGCACTGACATTTAAGCCACAATCTCTAGTTTTATCACAAACGACCATTCAGAAAAACCAGTTATAGCATTTCAAATTTGAAAAATACTTAAATTATGTTCGAAAGCAACTGTACAAGGATAGCTTGTTTGAAATAACTTAGAATTTTTAGAAAAAAAGTCAGGGGCTCCTTAAAGCTACAGTGCTCCTTAAAGGACACTGCCCCAACCTCTTCCATTGCCCAGAAAAACAGGTAGTCCCGCCCAAACTCACACTATTTGTTGAGCCATTTGACATGTCAGAGCAATGTTCAGGAAGCCAACCAATAAATGGCTTACTTATAGTTGTCTCTCCACATTAAACTGAGATAAAAGAAAGTATTTTAACATCAAAATGGCTATTACACATAGCCACTTCAGTAGCAGAATTAGTGTAGAATACATTTTTGCGTAAGAATCCCTTTCAAACAGTTCCACAGGCATCAACTCACCCTCCTGAGGGATGCAGCCACAATCTCTAGTTTTATCACAAACTACCATTCAGAAAAACCAGTTATAGCATTTCAAATTCGAAAAATACTTAAATTATGTTCGAAAGCAACTGTACAAGGATAGCTTGTTTGAAATAACTTAGAATTTTTAGAAAAAAAGTAATGGGGCTCCTTAAAGCTACAGTGCTCCTTAAAGGACACTGCCCCAACCTCTTCCATTGCCCAGAAAAACAGGTAGTCCCGCCCAAACTCACACTATTTGTTGAGCCATTTGACATGTCAGAGCAATGTTCAGGAAGCCAACCAATAAATGGCTTACTTTTAGTTGTCTCTCCACATTAAACTGAGATAAAAGAAAGCATTTTAACATCAAAATGGCTATTACACATAGCCACTTCAGTAGCAGAATTAGTGTAGAATCAATTTTTGCGTAAGAATCCCTTTCAAACAGTTCCACAGGCATCAACTCACCCTCCTGAGGGATGATCCTGAGTGTGACGCTGAGTCCCGCGTCCTTGATCAGTTTGACGATGTCGGCATGCGGCATGTTGACGATAGACTGATTGTTGACGGCCAATATGCGATCCCCAACCTTGAGCTTCCCACAGTGGTCTGCTGGACTTCCCTCAATGATCCGGCCGATCTTATGAGGCACCGCTGACAACACACCCACACAAATAGTTTTTACCTAATACATCAAGAGAGCTCTTCCCTTGCATATTAATGGTGGAGTTCCCTTTAAAATCTTAAATGATTCCCTTTGAGCTAAATTATTGACCTGTTTCCCTTACACTGTTATGTTTCCATCCAAAGATTAAAATTTAACTAATGCGCAAAACTGGAATATCGCATAAAACATTTGCGAATAAAGCACCGTTCCATCCAACGAGTCAAAAAGAACAAAGGCATCACTTCCTGATAAACTGGCATTAAGTATCACCAAGAAAAGTAGGAGAAGCCACTTAATATAATAATTTTCATATATAATAAATTAGTTGCGCCTCAGAGCGAGCAGACGAAAACACAATAAATGCTGACATTGCTTTCGGAGGTGGACGCTGCTGTTTGGGAATTATACAATTATACAGAAATACTTTGATGACAGACTTTAATCAGGCATTTCAGAACGCCCATAACAACATTTCAGATGCTGTGCAATGAGATTGGTCACATTGGGACTTTTTTTGATGCACATGGTTGAATTTATTCGGTAAAAGTGTCTCCATCGTAGTTTAGTGCGCATTTTTTCTTATTGGAGACAAAGTTTATCCTACTCAATAGTGCGCATAAGATTTTTATGTGCATTTTTAGAATTTATGCGCATCTTGGCATTTCCATCCAGTGTTTTTTTATGCGATATTCCAAAATGCGCATAAAAATAGGTGGATGGAAACAGCTATTGTTGGTAGACAAATAAAATAAGCATCAGCCATTTCTCACCTGTGGTCTGAATTCTCCTTCGTACTGTGAGTTTAACCTGTCCAGTCCGGGCCGCCCCATGCATGAGGTCAATGACGTAACGGTGGGGTTTTCCAGCCACAGGGATCCCATCGACTGACATCAGCTCATCTCCTGGCCGGAGACGCCCGTCTTTATCTGCTGGGCTCTTCTCGATGATTGCACCAATCAGGATCTGTACATGCATAGCACTGTTACTACAGACTCTCTTTAAGTTGCGATCAGAAACAAAAAGTGGATGAACGTTATCATGTTAGCAAATGGCAGTGAGCTCTGGTTTAGGAAGCGTGTGGTTAGTCCTAGAGTACGAGCCTTCTCCTGAGCCTCCAGACTCACAGGCTGTCCTGGTTCCTCTCCGCCCAGGATCCTGAAGCCGAAACCGGACTTCTGTCTGCGCAAGTGCACCTCCACCTCCTGGAACTCTGATACTGTCAATGAAAGCACACATTTATCTCACAACTTAGTCTTTTCTCCAGACTAGTCTCATCCTTCAAGTGTAATTTAGTGTTCTGGATGACATTTAAGATCCCCATTTCTGTTCATTGAGTACTTAATTAGTAAAATCATTCATTTTATGTTCTTTAACCTGCATTGAGAGGTTCACTCTCAAGGCAGTGAGAATGACAAGTGGCAAAAGCTGGCAAAAAATAAAACTCTATCTCCAGTATATCTCTCTATCTTTAGTATTTCATAATAGCTGTATTTAAAAAAGGATGTCAGACTCTCAGACTTTACTTAGATTACTTAGATTTTAGAGATTTTATTGGACTTTTATTTGATGTACCTATGAATGATTTTGGTATGCAAGGCATAAGGCATAAAAAGACACTGTACTTTTTATTTAGACTTTTTTTATTACCTTTCAGAATAAATGCATAAATACTAAATATTGTTTTTTCAGCCTTTTTACAATATATATCAAATATTGTTTGAACTAATATTGAACCGTTTTTTTGGTAGAGCTAGTTTTGATGAAAATTTTCCTTAAAAGTTCAGTGTAAATGTAATATATTTTTTTCTCTCATTAAATTGCATATGATTTTAGGTGATAAAAATACATTTATTTCATGATACTAAATGCAGAAAAAGAAGTCAAACTGCAGCAGGCAAAACTTTATACCAAATATATAAAAAAAATGTACAAAGGTCATAAAAACTGGATATAAAAAATGAATTTCAAACGTTCAGACTTTATTTTATGCAGAACTCCTTCTGTCAGATTGTTTCTGTTTTAGGTGTAGATATATTTACTCACCGGAAGGGTCAGCTGGGAGAGCTGCTCGAGGAAGCCCTGGCTCTAAGAAAGGGAGAGATACAAGGACAGCCCATAAATCACTGCTTATATAAACACACACACCTGGAAATATACTACAATATATACATCACCTGTCTCACTAATATAATGCCCAACAGCTACAAAGCAAAGAAGATATATGTGAATATACAGTGCCCACAAAAATGCACTAAAAGCACACTTCATCATGACACTTCATCATTTGATAACAAAATTATGTGAACTATACTTTCACAATTCTGACTGACTTTTAATCAACTGCTGTTTTTTCAGTGGATGCATGAAGTCAGTTCTTGATTTTGGGCTTTTAATTATATAATATTTTAGAACTCAAGTTCATCTCTTGGCTCAGAGCGGACAAGCACTGAGATCAGCATGAGCTGCGCATTTCTGCCTGAAAACCAACACACGGCCATGTATTATGCTGTACGTATATTGCATTTAAACTAGGTGCAAGCTTGAGCCTGATTCTGATTCAGAAAGGGAGTCTGATCTTCAACTGCATCATTCTTGCAACCTCATCTGCATCTCTGCTAGAGCTGGGCGATATTTGCAACCACTACGCTCGTGATTTTTAACCAACATATTGTATACAGTATTGTGTATATTGTGATGATTTACATGCTTTTCATTCAGCTGCAGCAGTAGGCTGGTTTTGTGCCCTCTGCTTGTGGAATGACACGACAGCGTTAAGATGTTAAGCTCTCTAACTTAAACCTAAATTGATTTAGAGTTTGATTCATTTGATTCAAATGAGCTCTTTTGAAATGAATCAGTTCAGAATTCAATTATTTGTGTTCACGGAAGTCTCTGGGAGACATTTTGCATGGTTTGAAATGTTTCAATACAACATATGTAGTTCAATGTTGCTGTTTGTTAAACGGCTGTATACATTTTTTTTTTATAAATTTTTTTTGCGTTCAATAAGAACAGCATGGAAAACACACTTTAAATAGATTAACTCTTAATGACTGATATTTCCTATGACTGAAAATGTAGCATATAAAACCATTTAAGAGCAAATACATAAATATTGATAGATTATTTTTTAGCCTTTTTACAATATCAAATATTGTTCAAAGTGGTGTTGATTTTCTTTGTTGCAGTGATGAAATGTGCTGATAAAACTTTATCATGTCATATAGTTTCATAACTAGCAATGATTTTAGACAAATAACACATTTACATGATGATACTAAATGAAAAATAGTCTTAAATTGCAGGCGACCAAATATTTGCAAAAGATTAATTCAAACACAAATAAACGATCACATAAAATATGCATTAACATAAACAGCATGTGTGTCCTTGTTGCTAAAACCTAAGCTCCTGAAATACTTGAATATAAGTATTAATGAGATTTTAAAAGCTTCTATTCTCCAACTTGACAGAATGCCAACTGTTTACAGCATCTTTGCAACATCAAGTGCATATTCAAACAGCTATAAAACATTAACAGTTTTGCGACTGAACATTCTCAAACATTCCTGACACTTTCAGATTAGAAGGCGGTGCAATTTCACAAAATGAGGCTGTTTAAAACATCTTACACAAAAAATAAGACGCGGATCACAGAAAAATATACAAAATGTAATCAACCATCGAGCATACTTACCTTAAAGAGAAACTAAACTGTTTGGAAACATATCTAAAATCACCAGGGTATCTACAATAGAGTGTCTGTGCAATATACTAATAATAATACTACTACTACTAATAATACAATAATTCTTATAATTCTATGGAGCATCATTGCACATAAGATAAGATAATCATCAAACAACATCCACACTAACCAACATCTCCATTGCCAACCTGTCATTGCCAGCTGTGAATACTAAAGAGAAACTATATACAAAATTAAAGAGGAGGTATAGACTAGGACGCATTAATGAGGAAGAGCACACTTGCTGATTTAAAACAGTAGAAAAAAAGTTTATGCAAATGCACAGTGAAGCAATAATGGGAGTGCAGACAGAAGATGAATAGAAACGGCTGCTAGCAGCAGAACGACATCAATCGGTTTAATCGCGGTCAATCAGTTTAAAGCACCTTTAGAAATGCAACATTAACTCTATTGACATTTCAGACTTTTTTTGTTCAGTATGCAGTAGATTTTAGGTACAGTAATAAGTATGTTCACATTTGTATGAATTAATGCATTTCAAACTATTTGCTGAATTAAACATACGCTTCTACTTAAAATGCAGTGAATATGGTTCACAGGGACCTTGAAAAAAGTTCAGAAAGCCTGTATGTGTGGTAAAGTCTCTAAATCTGGTTAAGAAAGTACCTGCATTAATAATGCAAAGTGTTATCTAACGTCAAAGTCACTAAGACCACTAAAGTTCTCCCAGACCCCAGAGCAGCTCCACAGATCTCATTGTGGAAAAATTCCAAATTGACAAGACACAACAACCTCAGAACACTTAGCATGGAGGATAACATTGTACGAGACAACAACAAAACAGTATTTATTTTGAGTCTGAGAGCTGACATGGTCACTCGAGACCATGCTCTAACCAGGCTCAAGTCAATAACACCAGTAAAAGTCATTTTTGGTCCAAACGGAAAGATGTAGAAGAACATATCCGATGTTTAATTTCAGTTTACTCAGTGGCCATATTGAACTCTATTTAATTTTGGTAACAGACATTCAACTACAGCTCTGACAGGATTAATATCAGCAATAAAATCTAACAACATTTGTAACATAAATTTGGCACACTTTATTTGAAAACAATTTAACTTCCATTTCTAAAGCAGATATTTGATGCTATGATTTCTTCCATTACATTTTTTTACAACAATGTGGAGTGGAAACAATGTGGAGTGGAAAATTCGACCAATGAGATTTCACTGTGGGCGGGGCAACTTAACATAATGCTACAGAATTACAAATCAAGTAGTTGCCAACATTTCGTGTCACTCATTTAAATCTCACAAACACTCACCACAGAAAAGTAGCTTTTATTGTTAGCTGTTTTAGCACATTGTGCCTCATTAGGACACACTGCTACATATCTTTTGCCATGTACAACAGGAAATGTGTTTGTTGTTTGGTGTGTATGTGCACATTTTTGGAGTGGAAAAATACAGTAAACAGCACAGATTAGCAGTAGGCATTAATGCTAGCTTTAGATGCTAGCAAGAAGTTACTTACGCCTATTCTCATAGATAGCCCTGGACTTCTCATAGAGGTCATAGGGGTCAGGTTTGGTCAGGTCAAACTCTGGACCTGAAGGCCAGTGCAGATATGGAGCGCTGTGAGGGAGAGCATGGACAGATAGACTGGCTGTGGGACTGCTGTGAGGATCCCAATGTTCCAAGACCTGCAAATACACCGGCATTCAGTAAAGCGCCCAATCATCGGCCAGCCCTGCGTTTATTAATATGCTGAACTGAGTAAGCAAATTGCGCTCGCTCTTCCAGGCAACTTCTGCCTTGGAATTTTGCTGGCCGTGGGTTAGGAAGGTGTTTAACAATGAACTCACTTTTGCGGCAATTAGTTTTTAAATGAAGCGTAAACACAATACATGGCAAGTTAGTTCTAGCTCAGCAAAATAAGGCCACATCAAGGGCTCATCAAGGATGCTTGATGCGTTTCTCTATTGCTGACGATACTGAATGTAATCTTTGTGTTTTCTCAAGCTAATGCAGCTGTGGGCAAAATGTTCCCAAACCACTTCACTACACCGGGCTCTTGCACGACACCCAAAATTAGGTTATGCAAATAGAACGAGCAAAGAACAGCAAGCAGGCATAGTTTCTACTGTTTCTAATATTAAAGGAACACACCACTATTTTTGAAAATAGGCTCATTTTCCAACTCCCCTAGAGTTAAACAGTTGAGTTTTACCGTTTTCGAATCCATTCAGCCGATCTCCGGGTCTGGCGGTAGCACTTTTAGCTGTAGCTTAGCATAGATCATTGAATCTGATTAGACCGTTAGCATATCGCTCAAAAATGACCAAAGAGTTTCGATATTTTCCTATTTAAAACTTGACTCTTCTGTAGTTACATCGTGTACTAAGACTGACGGAAAATGAAAAGTTGCGATTTTCTAGGCCGATATGGCTAGGAACTATACTCTCATTCCGGTGTAATAATCAAGGAACTTTGCTGCCGTACCATGGGTGCAGCAGGCGCTATGATATTACGCAGTGCCTGAAAATAGTCCCCAGCTAGGTAATAGGAAAAATATAGAAACTCTTTGGTCATTTTTGAGCGAGATGCTAACGGTCTAATCAGATTCAATGATCTATGCTAAACTGCAGCTAAAAGTGCTACCGCCAGACCCGGAGATTGGCTGAATGGATTAGAAAACGGTAAAACTCAACTGTTTAACACTAGGGGAGTTGGAAAATGAGCGTGTTCCTTTAAAGCTGTTGTTACACATGATTCGACTGCTTGCTTTGAACCCAAGATTGTTTTCCCCAACCTCTACCTCTGCTAGTCACTTTGTACTTTTATACTTTTTACTAGTTCCAATTCCTCTTAATGGTTTCATTAACGATTCTCTTAGTAGTTTTAAAAAAGACGAAGAAGATTTTTTGTTGTTGCCGTTTTATGCCTTTATTTCGATAGGACAGAAAGTGGACAGGAAGTGAAGTGGAAGAGGGGGTGGGATCGGCAAAGGTCTACGAGCCAGGACTCAAACTCAGGACACCTGAAGCGCAATGGTTCTACAAGACGGACACACAGATGTTTTTAGAATTTTTAGAGATCAAATAAATGTAATTCCATTAATGACCTTAGCTATATATGAATCAACAATACTAAAAGTAACAAAAGAGGAGGTAATATACACTACCGTTTAAAAGTTACCGTTTCAGAAAGATTTTTTCATGATTACCAAGACTGCATTTATGTATGTATGTATGTAGTTATAAAAAATACTGTAAAACAGTAATATTGTGAAATATTATTACAATTTAAAATATCCATTTTCTATTTTAATATACTTTAAAATGATAATTTATTCCTTTGATGGCAAAACTCAATTTATTGAATTTTTGGAAACTTTGATGTATTCGCAGAAAGTTAAGAAGAACAGCATTTATTTGAAATAGAATATTTTTGTAACAATGTCTTTACTATCACTTGATCAATTTAATGCATCCTTACTGAATAAAGAAAAAACAACAACAACAACTTCCTGATCCCAAAACTTTGAACGGTAGTGTATTTTAATAATTTTTATAAAGTACTACTAACAAAATACATAATTCGTATCTCCAACCACACACTGTCATATGAATAACCGGTCAATATTTACAAAAAAATGCTAATTATTTGGCTTTCATTTTCATGATTTAGGACAAATCGCGAACATATGATTTGCAGATGTACCCGAATTCACCTTTTCAAGCAGACATAAGGGTCGTGTGCCATTCAGAATTGCATCAGAATGCTTTTTAAATTACAATTAAATCTGAATTTGAATTGAGGTAGCAGGAAATAGAATTGTATTAAAATGTGCATTTATATAATATTATACGCTCTTATCTTTGCTTTGATCATCGTACTGAATATGATCCTGATGTAGTATTTGATAAAAAATGCAAAAAAAATTTTTTTGCTCAAAATGTTGCTTTTTTATGAAACTTACCTACACTGAAGTGTTGATAAAAAAAATGTTTGAAGCTAGAATAAAACAGAATAAGAATAAGAACAGGCATTGTTCTTTATTTTGGTGTATTGCATGTTTAGATATTCATACAACAAAATATTCTGGGGGCCATGAAATTTGAGCAAAAATTATAAAAAAATGCTGACAGTAGCTGGCAACTTTTTTCAAAAACGCTGGCGGGGAAAGAGTTAAAATCAATTGAAAGAAGAAATTTACCCTAATAAAGGTAATTGTCCATTCTACAAATTCTACATTCTATCCATTCAGATTCATACTCCGATTCATCTTCTTGTCGGGTCCAAGCCAGTTCAATTCCAACTAACGAACCGACAGTGAGGTGATTAAATTCTACACAACCCTGGACAACAAATGGATTCGGTTTCGTGCCAAAAGCTTTAGCGTGAAAGCGCCCTAAAGGCAAATGCCAAACAAAAGGCATAATTGAAGAAGAGGTGGAAAAATCAACAAAGAAAGAAAGTAGATGCCAGGATGAGAAAGATGCCAAGGCTTATTAAAGGAGGTCAGTGTTAATCTGGAGGAGCTGTAGAGGATGAGGGCAAATGCCTCTGGGCTGCTGTGTGCGGCTGGGAAACAAACAGATTAAAACGTGTCACTGCCAAGCAAACGCACGCACACGCGCACATTAGCTCATAGATGATGTTATTACTGCCAGAGCGAAGCGCTGTGACGTACATACTCTTGCAAACAGGATTTTGCTTATAGCAATCAAAGAGGCTCACGATAGAGGTCTGCTAAAGGACAAACCATTCTGGGTGGGTTCAAGTCAGTTTTTTATACATAACTTCAGGTTTGCAATGGGTTCAGGTTTGTGATGAATAAAAAATACAGTTTTATTATAAATATTTGATGTGTTCTTAACTTAACTTGTTATATCTTTGAGTCAGAGTCTGTGAAAATGGGAGCATAAGAGTTTACGTGCTCAGAGATGAAATAAAAAGGGATTCATATTTGGTTTAGATTTCTGACAGATGAGATTTGGTTTTCAAAACCAATCTTTAGAACAGACTCTCTGTAGTTTATACTGTATATGTGACCCTGTCTGTGAAATCCAGGCTAAAGTCTCAAAATCTAATTATGAGATAACAAGCATCAGAGTTATTTCAACCATTCAATTTCACTATGATATCAATCTTTGACATGGCCTTATTCACTCAATATTAAAGATATAAAGGATGATTTTATGTAGAAAACAGTAGGCCTAAAATCACAAAAAATGACTTTAGCTGGGTTTTCACAGGCAGGGTCACATATATTAGAGCTATACAAAGCCATTTTTTTTTTAACCTAATTTAACCTATGAAAAATGTTGTTTCTTTAAATTAATGTATTTAAGTTTATTCAGTTATGCTAAATATCTTTTTTTATTTGAATAAAACCAGTTCATTTATAGGATACCATTTTTTTTACAATAAGTGAGCAAAAAATGAGGGTATTTGGACACAGATCTGCATAAGAATGTGGTTTATATGGATTTGTAGAGATCAGATTTCCATGATCAGTTTCTTTCTTTTTTTTTTTTTTTTGAAAAAACAATGGATTTGAGTTGTATGCACAAAATAATCAGATTTTGCATGTCTGAACAGGTTTCAAATTTCAGTTTAATCACCATGCAGAAATCTATCTTAAACTAGATTCTTTGAGAGATTAAGTTGAAATACATTTTGCTACAGAAAATCTGTTATTTTGGGTAATATATCAAACATTTATAATAAATTCGATTTTATTTTATTAGCTATAAAAAAAATTACCAAACAAGTAACTAATATTGTGACCATTTTAATTCACATTCAAGTTGGCCACATTTCTGCAGAAGCTGGACAGTTAGCATGTGGTAACACATCGTTTCTATCGATTGAATGATTCAGTGCTCTGACCACATAACCGTGACATTCACATTCAGTAAAGGCTAATATTCTTTGGACATGGATAATTGCAGAAAAAGATGGACCACTTTAACATTTTCCAGTCATGAAACTCTTTCTGGCTGTGGAGATATTCTTAAAGCAAATGATGTCTAATTAAACCCCAGCGAAAGAGAGGGAGAGAGATGATAAAATCCAAGCTGCTCTACTGTACTGGGGTAACGAGACTTTCGCTCTGTCCCAGTTCTGTTCCCTATAGAGATAGATACAAAGATATGTGTTGAAGAATGACAGTAAAGTGGCCAGCAGCTCAAGGCAGTGCGACTGACTCTCTGTAGAGTGAAGAAAAATCAGTCGATTTATGATCAGTCAAGCCTTTGTTATATATATATATATATATAAGGAGACAGGACAGAGATCTCAAACCAAAAATATATAAATGCGTGGGTGGATGGGTAGGCATGTACTGTTGCACTGTGTACGTATATATATATATATATATTTACACACACATATCAGTACAATATATTTTATATATATTCTATATTATATTAAATATTCTCTGCTGCAAAATGATCAACTACCAACAATGAAGTGTTATAACTTTTCCAGTTGTGATTACTGGATTTGTAAAACATTTTTCAATATGTATATTGCACTCACAAAAAGCTGACCTGAGCATAACTAGAATTTTAGAATAAAATATTACCTGCTTTATTAAAATGGGTAGATTTTATTTATTAGTTTGTTTGGTTCTCAGATGAAAACGTATCACATTTTAAGTGGTTGATTGTTTGCTTGCTTGTTTTAGCAAGCATTCTTGAATCTTTAAACAATGAATTACCATAACCTTTTCAGTTATGATTACTGGATTTGTAAAAACCATTTTATATAAATGTGACCTTGTCTGTGAAATCCAGGCTAAAGTCTCAAAATCTAATTATGAGATAACAAGCATCAAAGTTTAATTTTAACTATTCATTTTACTATGATTCCAATATTTGACATGGCCTTACTCAGTCAATATCAAAGATATCAAGGTTACATTTTCACAGAATGTTCTTTACTTTATGAAGAATGATTTCATGTAGAAAACAGTAAATCACAAAAAAAAGGTCTTTAGCTGGGTTTTCACTGCCAGAGTTAGTTTTACATTTCTAGCAAAGCTGAGCATAACTTGATTTCACAAAAATGTATATATTTAACATTAAAAAAAATCCTTAAAATCATTTGATTTATTTGCAAATATATATATGCCGTCATATACCTTATCATATACATGTACATATACCATCCTGTGTGTAAATATACATACACATGGGACAGTTCAGAGTTTGAGGAACACTTTCTTGAAGATTTAGTCAAGCAGACAAGACAGCTGACAATATTGGATCAGAATCAAAGGACATCACAGAGACAGACTGCTGAGGGTGAAGGTTTTATGTGCCACATTACACAGTGCACTGGTTAGTGAGGAAAGATTAGTGAAGGTGCAGAGATTTGTTCTCAGCTGTACTAAGTGTTTATTTCAACTAGGTCCCCGTAGCTTTTAACAAATGAATTTCCATAATCTTTCCAGTTGTGATGACTGGATTTTTAAAAACTTTTTTTCAACACCAGAACATTTCGGATGCTTTTGGATCCGAAATGATTGACTTGGTCTCTTGAGACCAGAATATGGATTCCCAGAAGTCTCTATTTTGTAAATATGGGCCCTGGAAGAGGTTAAATGAGTTTATTTAGCTTTGGCTACAGTTGGTAGTTCTAGTGGTGACAACAACCATACATGTCACTTCTGCAGGCTGCGTCATACTCTGTGAGATAAAGTGTCACTCTTTCACAGCTTTTGCCGGCTCTGAGACACTTGCATGTTATTTCTCCTGCTCTTTTTCTAGCAAAAACTCACTCATCACTAAATGAAAACTTAAAGTGAAGACCTGATTATTATTTCAGGAGCCTTATCACAAGTCCATTGTTTTTGAATGTTGGCGCTACTTCTGCTATATTTTCACACTTAAAACAATAATTTGGTATTCCTCTTGTACCATTGTCCTCTTTTACACTAAGAAATAAGTCACCTGGCAGTTCTCTCCCAAGTGGTTCCACTGCTGCCAGCATTAAGTCTGAGTATGATTCAGTGGGCTATATAACACTTTTAATTGTCAGGAAATTACTTGTCTTTAAAAGTTTTGGTTCAATATATTACCTGTTGATCAAAAATAGCCTTAAACCTATACATTTTTAGTTTTATTTAGTAACTTTCAGGAGGGTGTACTCATTTTTGCAACACAACTTTGATAAGAAAATCTTATTTTGCTGAATAATTTTGGCATTCCTCATTGGTAATTGATCAAGCAGGCTTGTTGGAACATTACATCTCCAAAGAACCCTAACATGTCTTCTAAGTAAAGAGTAATTGCTGAATTTGTTAAGTTTTAGAGGGGGTGTACTCATTTATACTGTGCACTGTAGCTGCCGTTTGGTGTTGTAGACACATTTTAAGACACACTAGCAGTAGCTTAGTACAATGCAGTTAGTGGTAATATGTTATAACAATACAATAAAGCCATTTATCATGCGTTGATCTTAGTAATAAAGCTCAACAGTCATGGTTATTAATACATATGCTTGCTGTATAATGTATAATAAGACCTAATCACTCAATATTGAGAGTACACAGTTGATGTTAGTTTATTAATTAAATTCAGAGGGCTGGAATACGATACGTTTTACCTGTTTAGAGGTCTTCCAAGGTGAAAAGTGACCTGCAATGGAGAACAAAACCTTTAGCATGCTGGATCTTTAGTATTAGATTTGAAGTGGGAATTTTAAGCAAATCAAAACAGAAAAAAAGCCAGACGATAACCCTTTATTATTTTGCTTACTCCGCAGCTGTACTCTCTTGAGGTACATTCTGAGCCGCGTAGATGCAGTTTCATTTATTGCTTTATTTATTTTAGCCAGTATTTATTTTTTTCTAAACGGGGTCCAAAAGGCATTTCTGAGATCACTTGTAGTTTGTAATATTCTAACTTAATCCAAAATGTTAATACAACTTTGTGCAAAATAATTCGAGAACGTTTCAATAGCATCTTGTGACTTTCAATGGAAGGAATTGAAAAACGTCTTTTATCCAAAGAAGTTTAAACTGGCCTGTTTGATTAACGACCGAGAAATAGTGCAGAATAAATATGTAATATCCAGACCCTTTTTATTTCAGACTGTCTCACTGTATATTGGTCATTGTGTAAAATTCTACCAAATTACATAACTTGCTGAAATTGTTGTGGTGCTGTGTTAAGCATCTGAATAATTCTAGTGTTAGTAGTGTTAAACAAGTAATCTTTAAAGTGCTTAAAATAACTGTAACAGGATTAGTGTGCAATTACAAAATGAACAGTGTTTAAAATCAAGACCATTTAATCGGTAATTACAACCGAAGATACAATTCAAACAGCAGCTATTCAAATATCTATTCAGTTCAGAACATTTGCTCTTCTCTAAAGCTATTGCATTTTGAGGACAAGTGGTTATTATTTGAATATTTCATGTATCTGTTGAGAGCAAGAGAGATTTGAATGTAAAATATACAAGTTTGACCATGTGGACCGTATTTGTTGATTTTTTCTGATGACAAAAAATACAAATCTCCTGTTGCAATCAATGAAAGGACGCCCAAATCCAATGACAGAAAGATGCTTAAAATGCACACTTCACATCACATCAAATGCTCATTTCCCCCCTGGAGGAAAAACATTGGCTGAGATGAGGCGAAAGACCACGAGGCTTCTGAACCCTAATCACAACAAACAGGAAGTAGTGGCAGTCTAGAGCACCTCTTCTGGTATTAAGAGCTAAACAATACTCGCCGACATCAAACGTTCATGATTCATGAATATTTTGAAACTCCTTTCTAAACTCCTCCTAAATCGGCCTTGAAATGCACAAAACAAACACACACATACACCGTCCAGCATCTTGCATTCAACTTCTCCCTCTCTGTCTTTCATGCCTTACCGCAGATGACCTTCAGGAACGAACAAGGCGATGCAAATGACCTGTTTGGAATTAACGAGAGTGCACAAACATACTAGAGCTGCACAGTTAATCCAATAAAGAATTAAGAATACGGCTGCTGTGAAATGTATTCATCTTTAAAAAATATATTCTTTTATTTTCATAATGATAAGTTATTTGAGTACAAAATGTGTTTTTAAAATAAAGTTTGTTTGCATGTGTTTTTTTTTATTCTTCTTCAATTAAATCGGCTTTGTATTGATCTCCCTGTTCTTAGAGATTGGCCATTAAAAAGCCACTGTAGACAACATATAACCAATTACAGAAATATATTTATTGTGCACATGAATGCGGTTTCATTTATAATAATCCAGAGATAACAGTGAGATTGTGAGCAGTCATGTGAAACATTTTCACTATACAGGGTTCCAGAGTTGCTATATCGAGATGAAAAAGCTATTGATGTTATTATAAGCTTATATTTGCCTGTAAGGCTCCAAGTTGATTGTGATTAAAACGCTTTTGCAATTATGTTAAACTGACCTTTTAGTCACTATACCTTGAACGTCTGATGTATAAAATATCAGGAAAATAATTCAGAAATCTTTTTGGATGTGTAGCCTACATAAATAATCTGACATGCTCCTTCACATAAAATAAGTATTTTAATGTACACTAAATTCTAATGGAATTTAATAATTCAATGTGATCTCAAGAGTATTCATGTATGTATAATATGCAGTTATACCACATGTACTTTTACTTATGTTTGCCTAGACACTAAAACATACATTATTCACGTACTGACATAATCTAAAATGCATATGAACAACTTTACAGACATACATGTTTACGAACCCTCTCTATGAATAATCTATGAATATTTAATTAATGGAATTAATTGGTTGATTCTATTTATGATCAACTGGATTTATTTATGTATTTATGATCAATCAGATTTATTTAACACAGTTCAACATTTTATTCTATTCTGTGACTTCTAGTGCTAGCTCGTTTAAAAAAATTACATTTATTTTGAACAAGAATAACTTGAAACTTAAAAATGAATGACATTTTTCATTACTTATCATTTAACCATTAGAATTCATGTCGTTATTCAATCATCATCATCTCCATCCTTAGTAGCAAGAGGTTTAGAGGTAGCAGAAAAATTAGTGACTCAAAAATATAGTAACAAATTTTTACTGTTAATTTTTCTGCCTGTTTAATTTTTTCCTTTTTTGAAAAGTGGTCATGTTTAGTTTTAGGATTAGAGTTAAGGAATCTAAACTATAAATAAATTCATCATATAAAGGATTTGTGAATATTTCTATACATTATATATATTTTCATTTTTGTTGTTTCCCGTGTGTCCACATTGCACACATCTATGGAAGCCCGTTTCCGCCACTGAATACAAAATAAAAAAAGGAAATTGCGTCTTTTTATCTATTAATTCGGACTTTTTTTCTCAAAATTGTGATATATAAACTCGCGTTGCGAGTTATAAAGTCCAGTTCTGAGGAGAAAAAAAGACTGATATGTTCTCAGTATTGCGAGTTTACTCTATATCTCACAATTCTGACTTAATAACTCGCAATAGAGAGTTTATATCACACAATTCTGACTTGATTTCTCATTGCGAGTTTGTATCAGCCAATTGTGAGATAAAAAGTCGAAATTACCTTTTTTAATTTTTTTATTCATTGGCGGAAACAGGCTTCCATACACATCAGCATACCCAAACATACAAAAAATTATATTTTTGTACCTGTAAATGTTTTGTACAAGTACCTACATATAAACAATGAGACTAGGCTGGAAACTCAGGATTCTCAGACGGCATCTGATTGTGATTATAACGCTTCTATAGTGTTTATAATGTGAAGGTGACCTTTTTGAGTTTCTGATGTATAAAACAGAAATAGTCCTCAGCTTTTTGGATGTATAGCCTACATAAAGAATCTGACATGCAGTTGCTTCACACAAATAAGTATTTTAATGCACACTAACTTCTAATCGAAATTAATAATCACACTCTGCTTCTCTTTCTTTGTGCTGCATTTACAACACAAGCATAATGGCAACCGGCTGATTAAAAAGCAAAGTGCAGCGTGTTGCTGTCGGCTGGGCATGAGTCATCAAATAAGGAGCAGAGAGTCCGACAGGCCACAACTGGGCTGCTTCAGTGAGCAAGGCTGCGCAAGAAATCAGTGACACTAGCTGAAAGGAAGGAAAAGTGGCTTCTTTGCGCTTCATTTGTATGGATAGAGAAATTAATGGAAGAGTGCTCTGGAGAGCACAGATACAAGTCATATCAAGCCTCATCAATGGATGAAAATCAAATGGTCTTCTGATGCAAAACATATTTTGCAAAAAAAGAAAATATTTGCTCAAAGTAGTGCTTTGCTAAAAAAACAGGAGCTCTTGGTGCATGGTGGTCGATGGCTATAAATCACAATAAATGAACAAAGCAAACAGAAAAGGTCAGTGGATAACAATGCTCCAATTTCGATTCCTAATGTAGTTCACATCACTTCACGAGTCTTAATCAGCTCATGGATGCAGTTGTTAAATATCTCGCCCAATTTGAACCTGAGCTGGTAAACATACTTTCAAATAAACACGTCCTAGATTCTGCAACATCCTTGATGCATATTAAGCTGATTATGCTAACAACATTAATCAAATGCCATACATTTGTATGATGCAGGTGAGACTAGGAGAAAATGTAATCCAGACAGGTTTTCTGTATATAAATATATATATATATATTCTTGTACTATTGTCATTTTGTCATCTCTTTCTATCCTTCCAGCCTCTCATGTGTGGGCTCTAGTGCATACTGATTAAAATATGCAGTGGACAGTCAGGACAACTAATGTCCACTTTGCCACAAATCAACGACTTGCTTACCATCTAGTGCTCTCTTTATGACTGAGGTGCATTTCATTAACTAAACAAGATTTAAGCAGCACAGAGATCAGATGGGGAGCATTAATCTTCATTTATTCATAATATACACACAGTCCCAGTAGGCAACAGTCGGAGTACATCGAGGTATGAAGCTGCCAGTATATATTCAATATGTACCGAATGGCATATACTGTCTGATTGTTGCATATATTCAACAGCAATGCTGGATATTGAATAACATTTATTTAGATGTAAAGTAATAGAAATATAAAATATACAGTAAGTATACATAATAGTAATATATAAATGTGGTGAATATGGGTCCTTTAGAGGCCTAATTCAGCCTTTAACCTAGTGTGAACGACCCAGGTCATGAGATATGACCTCTCAGATGTCTTTCTTAAGTGAAAACATGAGCATTACTCAGCTTTTTTTGGTGGAGTGATGTAAACATGGTATGTACATTTACCTCCATTATCAGATTGACCCAAACTGTCCTTACTGAGAAGCTAGCAACTGTTTTTGACATATTACTGTTATGTGAGTTGTCTTATGTGTGTGTGCATTCACATCCACTGTCAATTCCCCATAAGCTCCTCTTGAAATTTTGAAGCATGTGTCTGGTAAGCTAATGGTCCCATGCCTATATCTGAGTTAATGGGTATAAATCAGCTAATGAGAATATCAGTAGAGCCGGAGCTAATTAGCTCTTTGATGAGACGCTGAGAGGCGTTTGTTTTCCTCAACCAGCTAAGAGTCATCTGCTTCTGTTACACACACACACACACACACACACACACACACTTTATGATGGACAGAGCTCCTAGTAAAG